AACAACAACAACAACAACATCCTTTATGTGAGGAGCTCTGGTGGTATAGTAGCTTAGACATTTGGCTGCTAACCAAAAGGTTGGTGGTTTGAACCCACCAGCTACTCCGTGGAAGAAAGATGAAGCAGTCTGCTTCTGTAAAGATTTACAGCCCTGGAAACTGAATATGGGTCGCCATGAGTTGGAATCATCTTGATAGCAGTGAGTTGGTTGGTTGATTGGTTGGTTATCCCTAATGTACTCTTTCTTTTTCAAAACTGGGATCAACTGAGTACAATGTAAGCCATTTTTTGACTGAATAACCATTTAACAACCTTGTTCTATAGCGTCATAAATGGTATGGTATTCCATTAAGTAGATTTAACCAGGCCCTAGTTTCCTATTTCAGTTTGTCCATTATTTATATAGAGCTACAGTAAACATTCTGACTGCAAAATGTTTGCCTGTTGTCATAAAACTGCATAAAAAAATATTGGAAGGGATCATAGGGTGAATACAGTCTTAGGCCTTTTAAAACCTATCATAAAAGAAAAAGAAAGAAAAACCTATTGTTAAACTCCTCTAGAAAAGTTGTGCCGATTTATATTCTTACTGGCCCTGTTTTTATTCATCAGAGATGTACCACAAGCACAATCCACTTTTGAGATGGGAGTTAGGTTCTAAAGACAGTGTGAAAACTGAAAATTGCATATGGACAAAGATAACCCCTATAAATGTGAAGTTTCCAGTAAAATATGGTAAACAGTTTGGGGATGCAGTTTTTCCTTTAACGTTGGAAAGATTTTTATTTCTTCATTTGAACACCAGCTGAATCGATTGCATTATGATAAGAGACCATATGGGAATACACATTTTGGAGGTTTGTGTTTTGTTTTGCTTTGCTTTGTTTTGTTTGTAAGCCAAGCTTATTTTGTTAAATTTTCTTGTGAGATATTGTCTACCTGCTAACCACAACTACTGATGAGCATGAACAAGTAGTGACCCTGCTGAACTGCTGTAAGTCCAACCAGTAGTAGAGACACCACTTGTCTCTTTCATTCAGTCATTCCTTTTTTTCATTCAACAAATAAAATTGTATTTGTGCCATCCTTTGCCAGGCATAGTGGTAAGTTATAGGTTTAAAATGCCTGAGCACCTAATCAGGAGTACCAAAAAAGAAATCCAAACCCACTGTCATCGAGTCAATTTTTACTCACAGTGACCCCCATTGGGTTTCTGAGGCGGTAGATCTACTTTTGTAATATAGATTGCCCAGTCTTCCTTCCATGAAGTGACTGGTAGCTTTGAACCACCAGCCTTCTGGTTAGCAGTCACATGCCTTAGGCACTATGCCACCAGAGCTCATTTAGACAGCCTGAACCTGTCTCTCAGCACCGCATCCCTGCCTACTTAAGGGCATTCTTTTTCTTTTCTTTTCTTTTTTTTTTTTTTTTTTTAATTTAACTGTTTGTTTTCTCTGATGGAAAGCAAGCTATCTGATGTCTTTATTTATTTATTTTTAGCATTTAATTGTGCTTTAGGTGAAAGTTTACATACCAAAATAGTTCCCAGTCAATAGTTCATGCACAGATTATTCTGTGACTTTGGTTGCAATCACCACAATGTGACAACATTCTCCTTATTTCCTCCCTAGACTCCCTGTTTCCATTCATCTGGTTTCTCTGTCCCTACCTCTTCTCATCTTTGGTTTTGGGCAAATGCTGCCCTTTTGGTCTCATAGCTGATTATTCTAAGGAGCACATTCTTCATGGGTCTTTTCTTTTTTCTTTTTCTTTTTTTTTTTAAATTTTGTTCTACCCTTTTCCCCATTCTAACCAGACCTAGAGGAGGCTGTGGTTCATGTGGGCCATTAGGCCTTTGGACCAATTGCTTCCTTGAGTCTTGGTTTTTAATCATTTTCCTTTACTCCTGGTGGAAAGAGACCAATGGTTCTTTCTTAGGTAGCCACTCCCAAGCTTTTTTTTTTTTTTTTAATTGTGATTTGGGTGGCAGTTTACAGAACAAATTCACTTTTCCATACAGCAGCTCACATACACTTTGTCTCATGACATTGACTACAATTTACCACAATGCAACAGCTTCCCTTCCACTTCCTTCCCATAGTTACCTCTTCCCTGTGTCCATCCCTCCGTGCACTCCTGCCCTCTGAACTGTCTCCCTGTGCATACTCAGCCCTTCTATTTTCCCATGATTGTTCTCTCCAAGAAGTGTATCTACCTAATGTAAATGTTCACCTCATATGCCTGTCTTTTGTTTGGCCGGAAGCCACAGAAGTGGGCTCAATTTCAGACCTGAAGGGCAGCTAGGGGCCATGATCTCAGTGGTTCCATCAGGCTCTATCAGACGAGCAAACCTGGTCCCTTTTTTTTTTTTAAATGATTTTGTGTTTTATTCCACATTGTTCTCCCACTCTATCCAGATCTCCTGCATAAATCCCCCTCCGAGTGGTTGACAGTGGTAGCTGGGCACCATCTAGTTCTTCTGGTCTCATAGTCATATAGGCTGAGGATTGCATGGTATACCAGTTGCTTGGGCTAATTGTTTCCATGTTGTTGTTGTTGTTATGTGCTGTCAAGTTGGACCTGACTCACAATGGCCACTCCTTGGGTTTCTGAGGTGGTATCACTATAGAAGTAGATTGCCCAACCTTCCTTCCGAGGAGTGGCTGGTGGGTTTGAACCGCCAGCCGTCTGGTTAGCAGTCAAGTGCTTAGGCACTATGCTACTAGAGCTCCTATTGTTTCCATGAATCTTTGGTCTTCTTCATTCTTCTTTGCTCTGGGTGAGGAGAGACCCATCATTGCATCTACATGGCTGCTTGTAAGCTTTTAAGATCCCACTTGCTACTCGCCAAAGTAAGATGTAAAACAATGTTTTATGTCGTATGTTATGCCAGTTGAGCTTGATGTCCTGTGAGACTGTGGTCCCAAGCCCACAGATCCAACTACTCACTCCCTCTGGGTAGCTGGCTATGGCCAAGAAGTGACTGACTACCTTGTCACTTGTCAACTCTACTGTATACCTGGGAATTCTTATAAAACATATCAATACACTCACTCACAAGCTTTTAAGATCCCAGATGCTACTCACCAAACTAAGGTGTAGAACATTATCTTTTTAAACTGTGTTTTGCCAGTTGCCCAAGATGTCCCCCGAGAGTATGGTGCTCTAGGGCATTCTGACCAGTGTGGCTCAAGCTTTGTCTCCCACTAGCTCTTTCTAGGAGATCCTAGAAAGGATGTTGGCCCCAGATTGGTCCCAGGTTTGCCTTCAAGCAAGGCTGTCTGTTCTCATCCTGCCTGTATCTCCTCGACCTTTTGTATAAAATATTCTACTTCCTAAGAAATTATAATGATGGATTTTTACAATACTGCTATTTATTAAGTGCTTGCTATACTTTACACCAAAACCAAACTCACTGCCATTGGGTCAGTTCAACTCATAGTAACCCCTTCTTGATTTTCCAAGGCGATATCACTACAGAAGTAGAATACCAGGTCTTCCTTTCGAGGAGTGGCTGGTGGGTTTGAACCACCAACCTTCTGGTTAGCAGTCAGATGCCTTAGGCTAGTGCTTAAGAGCTCCCTGCTATACTCCAGGCATTTTAAATGTTTTATCTCTTTCAGTCTTTGTAGTAATTACATAAGAGATATGTATTTATCCAAATTTTATCAATAAGGGAAGAGACACAGAGAAGGTGGAAAGGTCTCATAACCACCATAGCTGAGATTCAAATCCAGGTCTGACTCCAAAGCTAGTACCTCTTCCACCATCCTACCCATAGGCCCACTTCCTCACTGAAACATCTGTGGCTTGGATCCTCTATCAATTTTTGATCAACCTGACTGACCTTGAAATTTTAATGGAACAGCCACTCAAGGATCTCTACCCTGCCCTACACAGGCCTGCTACCGTCCTGTGTCCCAGCCTCAGAGATGAGATGAAGGGTCTTGAGCACTTCCTGGTCCCCACACAAACAGTATACCCTCTCCCTACACATCCCCCCTCCATACCCTCCATGCATCCCACCTGGGGGACACTTGCTTCCTCTACTGGCTTCTCTCTACAGACTGAAGGCTCTTCAGGGGCGACAGAGAAGATGAAGAAGGGTTTGTCTGACTTCCTGGGCGTGATCTCAGACACTTTTGCCCCCTCACCGGACAAAACCATTGAATGTGATGTCATCACCTTGATGGGCACACCCTCTGGCACAGCTGAGCCCTATGATGGAACTAAGGTATTCACTGGGGGCCTCCCCTGCAGCTGCCTACCAGCGCTGCCTACCAGGGCTTTATCATCTATCCTGTACTCACAAAAGTAATACATGTCCAGCCTAAAAAGTAGATCTGTCTGTATAACTGAATTAACAATACTGAAAAGCAAGGACATCATTATTTCTAAATTCACAGTTCTGTCACCCAAAGAGAATCACTGTTTTCTCCTTGGTGTATGACCTTTCATTTCTTTCATTTGCAAAAATAAAGAGAAACTTTGGATTTTATTTTTTATTATTTATTTTTTGATTGAACTTTGTTATTAGTGCTGAGGCAAGATGGTACCTCATTATTGTTTTAATGAGTATTTCATTGTTTGCTCTAATGGCTGATGATAGTGAATATTTCTTCATGTGTTTGTTGGCTGCCTGAACATCCTCTTTGGTGAAGTGTCTGTTCATGTCTTCTGTCCATTTTTTAATTAGATTGTTTGTCTTTTTGTTGTGGAGGTGTTTGATGGGTTTTATTTCTTTTAAAAAGGACACTTTATACATACAGTTTTGTAACTTGCTTTTAAAAACAGCTTCACACCAAACTGAGCCTCTTTCCTAATCACTGTCATTTTTAATGACTTTTAAGGTCTGCAGCGAATATAGCATAATTAATTCAGTCATTTCCCTTGTGTTGAACATTTGGATTCCTTCTGCTTTTAACCATGACAGGAAATGCTGTGAGAGGAGCATCTTTGGAGGATACTGTCCACATCTGGGTTGTTAAGACTAATTTCCAATGGAAATAAATACAAAGCCGGGAGGTATCCTTAGATACTTTAAACCAAGCACTTAAGTCAACAACCAGGATATTGTATTTCTACTCTGCATTTTATTTTCTCATCATAACATCTTCTACTGAGTGGAGTGTTTTCCCCTAAATTAAGTTTGGCTTTCTTTGTACCATTTTATCACATTGCATTTCCATGCCAAATACACTTAATTTTCCAACATATTTTTCAGCACTAGCATTAACACCAACACTTGGTGAACATTTGAATGGAATTGTGAAATTGAAATTTTTAGATTTTCGGGTTTTAAATGGTAGCAGTGAATCATCATGCAACCATTTGGAAAAGTTCTGAGGTAGACTTCAGGTAATGCCTAAGGAGGAAGGTGGAGCTTTCTGTTTTCCAGCTAAAGTTTGCCACCTTGTGGCACTAGTGGGAACACAACATGCAGTTTGCTTGACTGGCTGTGAAATTAAGAAATTCCTAATGGCTTTAATTTGGGTGGAGTTGCATGATTTCAAAATTTGCCCATACATTTGGGCTTTATTAATACATGTCCACCAACACTTTCTGAGTTTCACGTGATTCAGATCAGAGATATTGCATGTCTATAATTCTATAGCCTGTGTACGCTCTGTCTTCTTAGTTCTGTGTGAAGACTCTTACTGGTCCTCCATTCCTTATGCCACAGTGTTAACTGACAAGTGCCCTGTGAGTGTGGCAGCTAAATGGCTACCTGGTTATGGGGGAAGCCGGGTTATGGTTGCTTGGGTACCCTGGCAAAGAGGGAGTGCTTTCTGTACTCAGAACCCCAAAATATATGTTCTCTCTTCTCTGTTTCTTCTAGGCTCGGCTCTATAGCCTGCAGTCAGACCCAGCAACCTACTGCAATGAACCAGATGGTGAGAGGGCAGGGGTGAGGGGGTGGGCTTGCAGGACAGGTAGAGCAGAGGGATCTAGTCTGTAGGCTTTATTTGCCTCAGGCAGCCCTTACACAACTAGAGTGTACCTTAAGCCCAGTGGGATGGGATGGGTTGACACTCCCTTTTCCTTCCTGAACCGAGGTGTCTTCATCTCCCTCTGCAGAGGCTCTGTGCCTCTCTCCCCTCATCCCATCAATTCAGCCTCCGCCCCAGCCCTGCTGTCTGCCTGCCTCCCCTTCAGCACCTGTCTGCTAAGCTCTATCCTCGGAGCTAGAGAGGAGATGGAGTCAAACCTTCAGACCCTGTCCGGCCCTTGAGGAACTTGTTGTTGAGAGAAACCACAAATAAAGCAGATAGTGGAGACTGAGTAAACACCTGAAAGAAGAGTGGGAGCCCAGAGGAGTGGCCCCCAACCAGCCTGGGGCATGCAGGAAGTGACACTCAAATTGGGATTTTAAGGATGAATTAGGAGTGAACTAGACAGGGAAGTGAGAGAGGGGGATTCAAGCAAAGAAATTGGCTGAAGGCCCAGAAAGAACAGGGAGCACTGGCCATTTGGTAAGGCTGGACTAAGGGTTGTGTGTGAGGGGAGAAACCGGCAGATGGAATGAAGAGGAAAATGTGCGTATAAGAGACACTAAGGCAAAAAAAGAGAGACACTAAAGCAATAGAATCCACCATGATTGGGTAAGAGAGGAGACGGATGCCCCCAGGTTTCCAGGTGGAGAATTTAGAAGGAAGGGAAGAAAAGGAACTCATATTGGGTTTGTAGCACCTATGCAGGTGTCCCCTGGACACCTGGTCCTTTAGATTTAGAGCCCAAAAGAGTTGTCTGGGCTGCAAAGAGAGACTAAGGAATTGTCAGTGGGAGAAGGGGTTGATACCCATACACATGAGGAGAGGGAAAATGAGATCATTGGTGACTGAGAACAGCAGTTTCAAAGAAGAGGGGATTCAGTAGCCAAATGCAGGAGGCTAAAAAGGGAGCAGGGATGAGAGCAAGGGCAGGCTGCAGGCCCTGCTGGGCATCACTTAGATGCCCTCCCCTGATACCAGTGAGGCCCACCCACCCCTTCATCCATCCTGACTCCCCCCGCAAGCCAGATGGCTTTGAAAAAAACCTTAAGCTTTGCCCATGTCCAGGCTTAGGTAGGTTCTTTCCTCAGACCCAGGGCACTGACCATCAGCGTCTGTCTATCTGCAGGGCCCCCGGAATTGTTTGACGCCTGGCTCTCCCAGTTCTGCTTGGAGGAGAAGAAGGGGCAGATCTCAGAGCTCCTTGTAGGCAGCCCTTCCATCCGGGCCCTCTACACCAAGATGGTGAGGGCCCAGCTGGCAGAACCTCAGCTAGCTCCAGGCATCAGGTGTCGGGAGGTGGGAGGGACATCATTTCCAGAGGCAGTGTGTGGTCATCTGGGCCAGAGAGCAGTGGGAGACCCTGGAGCCAGACCAGCCATGTCCTGAGCCAGCAATCGGCATGGGAGACGCTGATTGCCCAGGCTTCTGGCAGTCAGAGAGTGGTGAGAAGTGGAAGGGTCAGCAACCCTAATGGGAGTTCTTTCCTCCCTCCTTGGCCAAGCTGAGCCGGAAGGTAGGTCTGGCTAAAACTTAGGGGTAGAAGCACTCTGAGAATCACTACTAACCCACTTAACTGCATCTGAGGTCCAGAGCAGCTGGGAGCAGACTTTTAAAACGAGGGATACAGACCCCACACCACTACTCCCAAAGTCATTCCCATTCTCCCTCCCTCCAGGTCCCAGCAGCTGTTTCTCATTCAGAATTTTGGCATCGCTATTTCTATAAAGTCCATCAACTAGAGCAGGTATGCTGGTCCAGCCTGGGGAGGTACTCCGCTCAGCCCTGGGGGATGCAGGCCGGGTTTTGTTGAGAGAAGAAGGGGACACGGCACAAAGAGTTCTAGTGTCAGGACCATGGTCTGAGAAGAGGGTAGGTACCCTGACTCTCCTGGCTGTCTGCTTCCCCACACTCAGGAGCAGGCCCGAAGGGATGCCCTGAAGCAACGGGCAGAACAGAACATCTCTGAAGAGCCTGGCTGGGAAGAGGAAGAAGGTAAGTGTCTTTGAGAGATGATGGGCCAATAATAGGAGCTGCCTTGGGAGACTGGCCAGGCCAAGCTTTCTAAAGCCTGGAGAGATTTGGTGCCCCAGGGGAAAGTAGGAATGAGTACGGTTTTTTGTCTGTGTTGGAGACAGGCTAAGCTAACAAGGGAGATATTTGACAAGGCTGGTGGAGTCCTGGGTTTAGGTGCAGAAATCACATGTCATTGGAGCAAAGTTCCCTGTAGCTGGTGACTTCATAGTCACTTGAGAAGCTTTTTTAAAATCCAGACTCCCTTCCTCACCTTCTAAATAAGACTAGGGATGGAGCAGAACCTGTGTTTTGTTTTTTGTGGTTCAAATACATAGAACCAAACATTTGCCGCTTCACCATTTTCTTACATGTCCATTCAGTGACATGATTTACATTCAGCATGTTGTGTAACCATCACCACTATTTTTTCCTAAATTTTTCCATCACCCATAACAGAAACTCAGTGCCCCCAGGCAGTGACTCCCACTTTCTGCTCCTCTCCAACCCTTATTACCCAGTAATAAGTGTTGGTCTGGATATTTCATGTAAGTAGGATCTTAAAATATTTGTCCTTTTGTATTTGACCAGTTTCACTCAGTGTAATGTTTTTAAGGTTTATCTGTTATGGTAGCATGTATTAGAACTTCGTTTTTCTTTATGGCTGAATAATATTCCATTGTGTATATTTATGTATAAAATACATGGGAAAAGTGGTTTATATGTATGTGGTGTGTATACATCTATATGCATACTGTGTTTTGTTTATCCACTTATCTGTTGATAGACACTTGGGTTGTTTTCACCTTTTGACTATTGTGATTAGTGCTGGAATGAACAATGTTGTACACATATCTGTGTTCCTGCTTTCAGTTCTTAGGCGTATATAACTAGCAGTAGAATTGCTGAGTCATATGGCAATTTGTGTTTCACTTTTCGAGAAACCACAAAACTATTTTCTATAGCAGCACTATATTACAATTCCCTGAGCAGTGGATGAGGGTTCACGTTTCTCTACAACTTCACCAACACGTGTTTTCCGTTTTTCTGATCATAGCCATCCTGTGAAACAGACGGGATGAAATGGTAAACCACTGTGGTTTTGATTTGCATTTCCCTGGTGACTAATGACATAGAGCATCTTTTCATGAACTTGTTGACCATTCTGTCTTCTTTGGTGAAATGTCTGTTTTAGTCTTTTGCCCATTTTTTGGATTAAGTTGTTTGGTTTTTTTGTTGCTAAGTTGTAGGAATCAAACATGTTTTTAGCAGACTCTTCTGATAATATTAATGCCCAGCCAGGTTTGGGAGCCATTGGCTCATGGAGGGTTTGCTGAACGTTCGCCACCTGGTAGCTTAGCTTAGAACAGTGTGTTGGAGCCAGCTGTGTGATACGGCATTCACGCATTTATTCAGCACTCATGTTACATACTGCCAAGCCTGTATATAGAGCTTTGCATGCGGAGTCCTCACCACAACTCTATCATCCCTGTTTCAAGAATGAGGCACATAAAGAAAAGTGAGAGTGACATGCCCAAGGTCATGCACCTAGGGTATAGCAGAGCTCAGCCTGAACCCAAAACAAACTCACATTCAAGTCTTAGCCTTCTAATCTATAACACTATCTTGGGCTGCATAGATGGAAGCCAGACATGTGCTAGGCCCCGTGGGTAGGAGGGACTTTGACAATCAGAGAGTGTTTGCAGAAGAAGAACCAATACAGGAAGGGAATGAGGGAGGGTGAGAAAACCGGTGCTGTTTAATCTTGAGTAGAGTAAACTGGCAGGAATCTGGGGTTTGTCTTCAGAGACAAACCAGGGATGTCTCAGTATACACTGCCCTTTTTCCCTACCTTTCTCTCTCTACAGAGGAGCTTGGGGGCATTTCACCCACATCTCCAAAAGAGGCAAAAGTTTTGGTCCCCATGACTGAAACTTCCACACCACCTGAAGGAAGAGCTGGACCCCAGAGCCCCTGTGAAGAGAATCTGGTGATCCCAGTTGAGGCCCCAGCAGAAGTGACTCCATCAGAGAGCAGTGAAAGCATCTCTCTCGTGACACAGATCGCCAACCCTGCCACCTCACCTGAAGCCCCTGTGCTGCCCAAGGACCTATCCCAAAAGCTGCTAGAGGCATCTTTGGAGGAACAGGACCTAGCTGTGGACGTGGGTGAGACTGGACCTCCACCACCAGCTCACCCCAAACTCCTAACCCCAGCTGGCCGCCCGAGTGGCCCAGAACCCAGGCCTCCAGCCAGAGTAGAGACTCTGAGGGAGGAGGTGCCTACAGACTTACGGGTGTTTGAGCTGAACTCAGACAGTGGGAAGTCCACACCCTCCAACAACGGAAAGAAAGGTATGTTTGGAGACCCCAGCCCAGGGGCTAGTGTGGGAGCAGGGCAGGGGAGAGTTGTCACCTCACAAAGCACATTCGTCTCCTTGTCCCTTATTAGGATCCTAGGAACAGAATTTCTTCTTCTTTTTTTTTAATGCATTTTATTGAAATATAATTTATATACAGTGAAATACACAAAACTGAAGTGACATGGGTCAATGTTTTTTGTTTTTTGTTTTGCAGTGTTTTTCCCTCCCCTCCCCTCTCCTCCCAACCAACAAAGAATGTTTCCCTCCATATATAAACCTTTCCTTGACCCTCTACAACAACAAACTAATACTATACATGTGCTTCTGTGATTGACTTACTTCACTAAGCATAATGTCCTCCAAGTTCATCCATATTATGCGGTGTTTTATAGACTCTACATTATTCTCTTTTGTGTGCGTGTGCGTGCTTTGGGTGAAAATTGACAGAGAAAATTCACTTTCCATACAGCAGTTCACATACACTTTGTCTCATGACATTGACCACATTTTACCACAATGCAACAGCTCCCCTCCCACTTCCTCCAAATAATTACCTCTTCCCTGTGTCCATCCCTCCATGCCTTCCTGCCCCCTGAGCTGTCTCTCTGTGCATAAGCAGCCCTTCTTTCTCCCATCTACATTATTCTTTAGTGCTGCATAGCATTCCATGGTGTGTATGTACCATAGTTTGGTCATCCACTCTTTCACTGATGGGCACATAAGTTGTTTCCATCTTTTTGATATTGTAAATAATGCTGTGATGAACATGAGTGTGCATATATCTATTCCTGTCCTGGCTCTCACCTCTGTAGAATATATACCTAGTAACGGAATTGCTGGGTCAAATGGTATCTCCAATTCCAGCTTTCTGAGGAATCACCATATTGCTTTCCACAGTGGTTGTATCCCTTCACAGTCCCAGCAGCAATGTATGAAAGTCCCAATCTCTCCACATCCCCCCCCAGCATTTGTAATTTTCTGTCTTGTTGAACCTTGCCATCAGTGCTGGGGTGAGATGGTATCTCATTGTTGTTTTGATTTATGTCTCTCTGATGACCAATGATTGTGAGCATCTCTACCTGTATTAGCTGGCCACCTGAATATCCTCCTTGGTGAAGTGTCTATTCATGTCTTCTGCCCATTTTTCAATTGCATTGTTAATTTCTTTCGTGTTGAGGCATTGGAGTTTTCTATAAATCTTAGAGATAAGTCCCTTGCCAGATATATAATTATTGGCAAATATAAATTTGTTCTGTGCTTTTTCATGGTGTTGATTTCTTTGTTCCATATAATTTTCTATGCTGAGCTCGTTTTGTTTATGAATCGTGTTATCACTTCCATTGTTGCTATTGTTTTTGTATTTGCTAAATATTTGTGCTGGTCCTCTTTTTTATGTTGATGTGAAGGTATATCATTTTCTTTGAGGTTACCCTGTGATTCATAGTTTTCTTCCCAAGTTTAGAATAGTCCATTCTATCTTGTAGTTGTCTTGACATCCCTTCCATCTAGAAGTTCTATAATGACAGTTTTTTCCTGTTTACAATCTTATAGACTTATTTACTTTGGATTCTTCCATAGCTGGGTTGGTTTCTGGGTTATGTCATCAAGTGTGTTAATGGTCAGTTGTTGTTGGCTGTTGTTGCTTCTCTGTCCAAAGGACTCCCTTTAGCATCTTTTATAAAGTTGGTCTGATTTTAACAAATTCCCTTAATTTCTGCTTATCTGGAAATGTCCTAATTTCACCATCATATTTGAGGGACAGTTTTGCTGGGTACATAATTCTTGGTTGCAAATTTTTCTCCTTCAGGATTTTATATATACCATCCCATTGTCTTCTTGCCTGCATGGTTTCTTCTCAGAAATCTGAGCTTAGTCTTATTGGTTGCCCCTTGTAGGTAACTTTCATTTTTCCCATGCTGCTCTCATGATTCTTTCTTTGTCTTTGGTTTTGGTGAGGTTAATGATGATATGTCTTGGTGATTTTCTTTTGGAGTCTATCCTGTTTGAGGTTCATTGGACTTCCTTAATGAATATATTCTCATCTTTCATCATATCAGGGAAGTTCTCTTCCAACAAATCTTGGACAATTTTCTCAGTGGTTTTATTTTTCTCTTCCTGTTCTGAAATTCCAGTGACATGTAGGTTATTCCTTTTGATGGTATCCCACATGAACCTTAGGCTTTCTTCCTTTTGTTTTGATCTTTTTTCTGATTGCTTCCTTTCCAAAGAAGTATTCAGGTATTTATCTTCAATCTCATTAATTCTATCTTCCATTGCATCAATTCTACTCCTTTGCCCTTTCAATGTGTTATCTATTTCTGACAGTTTAGTACTAATCTTCTGGATTTCTATCTATAGATTTTGAATCATTTCTAATTTTTCATTTATTTTGTCATTTTGTTCTTGTATTTTCTTCCAAAATTCTTCTAGGGTTTTGTCTGTGTTTTCCTTGATCTGTCTCTCCATCTTTTGAAGATACCTAAATATAATTCTTTTGAATTCCTTAGCAGGGAGTTCCATTGCTGCATCTTTCTCAGGCATGTGTTTTGGGTCTGTATCCTGGTCCCTTGTTTCTCCTGCTTTATCTTGCTTCTTTGTGTGGACTGTGACGCTCTGTTATCTCTGAGGCATTGTTATGTTTTTGTGTTTATATTTAATTGGTGATTGTATGTTGGAGTGACTTGCCTATGATTTTCGTTTTCTTTGTATGTTATCTACGCAAGCAGGGTACTGTGCTGTGCTCCTCTATTCACTAGTTGACAGCACTTATACACTCACCACCTGTCTCCTTTCCTGTTGTCAGCCTCTTGTATGTCCCTGCCAACCTTGGCAAACAGAGCCTATTCTTTGGTCTCTGGAATCTCAATGAGAATGCTATCACTTTAAAATCCAAAATGGTTGCCACTTGTAAAGATTCAAAATGGCTGTGCCCTTGGTCACTTTAAATATCCAAAATGGCCACCACTTGTAAAAATTCAAAATGGCTGCACCCTCGGTCACTTAAAATATCCAAAATGGCCACCGTTCATAAACATTCAAAATGGCTGCACCCTTGGTCACTTTAAATATCCAAAATGGCTGCTGCTTGTAAACATTCAAAATGGTTGCACCCTCCGATTCCTTCATTTGTGACTGTGATGATGGTAGTAGCTGCTATATGATAGTATACTGCATCCATTCTAAGATCCACTTTTACTTTGAAATCAGGATGCATCTTACAATGGACAGAATCTTAGATTCAGGAAAGGGGTTTATTCCAGGCCCTGTGCCATGTATGTTATATTGCATTAAATTTCTCAGTCACACCTCACAACCCAGTGAGGTCAGTAGTAGTATCCTCATCTTCCTGATGAAGAAGTAAGGCTCAGAAACATAAGTAGCTTGCTCAGATTCATACGGCCAGGAAGTGGCGAGCCCCAGCTCAGACCCGGCTGTCTGACTTCTAACCTGTGCCCTTGGTTACCACATTATGTCAGTTCCTATCCTTTTGGACAACTCACCCTTACCCTCGTGTCATTGATGTCAAGGGTCCTATACGCTGGATAACCTTAAGAAAGTCATGTAGCTTCCCTGAGCCTTCGTTAATTATTATGATATATGTAAATAAGACTTCCATGTATAATTTGAAGTCAAATAAAATGAATACCCCGAACTTGCTGTGATTCAGCTTAGATAGTAAAGCTTTAGTTTCTTATCTTGTATAATAAGATTTTAGACTGAGGATTCTTTGATTTTATGTCAAAGGGAAACCTCTTTAACTCCTGGAATTAAAGGATAAGGTGTCCTTTAATAGCTCTGGTGTCAGTTTTTTGCCATATCCAAAATACCTCACCAGTGAAAAGACTGTCACCACACCCCTCCCTCGGCCCCTCACACTCATCCTGTCTTTGCTAACACTCATGCCAGTCATAGTCCCAAAGCCCACCTAGCAAGTAAGGCCTAGCCTGCGGGTGCAATGAAGGACTACTGGGCTGCAGTGTATGGGCAATGGGCCGTAACCCATCCTCCTCCCCCAACGGAAACAACAGGGTTTCCAGTTTCTAACACAGTGCTTTCCTTCTGACTAGGATTCAGCGAGGTCATCTATGGGGCTCCTGCCTTCTCTTTATGAGACACTGAGGGGGGAGGGGCAAAGGCTGCAGTCTTTATGATGAAGCATATAGGACAGGTTTGGGACTGGAGGGGGTCAGAGAAGAATGGAATCTCTGGGCACCAGTGGTGTTTCACCAAAGAGAGAGGAGTTGTCTTGGAGAGCTGGAGAGCTTGGGGCAAGTGCGAGGGAGTGGTCATCTAGGCTGAGGGAAACTACAAAGTCCACATAGGAGATAGCATGGGACATATTTAAGGGGTGGTGAACGAAGTCCACTTCTCTGTACTGTCAGCCAGGCAGGGTAGATGGGTTGGCTCAGACATAGAACTTAAGGACTTAAAATCTTAGGCTGGATTCAGTGGGTTGGACTCAGTGCCGTAAAGCACCTAGAGGCTAAGGGCTGAAGCTCTGGAATTCAGACAGGCCTGAGTTCAAATCCCAAATTGTTCAGAAGCTGTGTGACTCCAAACAGGTCACTGATCTTCTCTAAGCCTCTGTTTACTTGTCTATAAGTGAGGTAATTGTTGCACAATAGTTTCCCAGGCAGAGGAGAAACTAGGTTAGAACCTGCTTTGGGAAAATGATAATATCATTTCAGTTTTCTGAGTACTTTCTATACATCATGCTCTTTGGTAAGCATTTTATATGCATCTCACTTAATCCTCACAAAAGCCCTATGAAGTAAGTTATTTTCCCCCATGCTTTACTGGTAAACTCTAAAACCATACTCACTGCTGTCGAGTCAGTGTGACTCATAGTGATCCCTCCTTGGGTTTCCAAGGCAGTATCTCTACAGAAGTAGATTGCCCAGTCTTCCTTCTGAGAAGTGGCTGGTGGGTTTGAACCACCAGCCTTCTGATTAGCAGTCAAGTGCTTTAGGCACTACCCTACCAGAGCTCCTGATAGGAAGTTGAAATTGATTGCTCACCCAGTAAATCCTTAGAAAAGTATAAAGTGGTCCTTTAGGAGCGTGGAGGTGTAGCTGGACCTGACGGGTGGTAGGATTGCAGGTGGTTGGTACCAAGGGCCCGTGGAGGGTAGTGGTCCTAGATCTTAAATGATACCAGTCAACGCTGTTGTACTTTTGTCCAGCCACATTTAGTCACTCAAGTGCAGGCCCAGAGCCAACGAGGAGCTGGTTTTAACCAAGTTGAGGATTTGCCAGTAGAAGAAAAGAGGGATTGGGGGCAGAGAGGGAGAGAACTCGTGTACAAGAAATGATCAAAATAATGGCTCATGGAAACAGAGCTGATGAAGGAAGGGAAGGGGGGATAGTGAACCAGTGGGAGGATTGAAGAATTAGGTTCCATTTGGAACTGGCTCCCAGAGAGGGTGATTGGAATTATGCTGGTTAGAAACTGGATGCTTGAAATGGGGTTCTGTAGGCAGTGCAGTGTGTCTGAATCCTCTGGTGTGTGAAAGGAGGGGCTGGGGATTCGATGCAGAACGTCCACAGAAGCAGCTGTAGTCGGGGGAGGGGAGTAGCCAGGGTCTTGCTGTAGTACTAGGATGGGGACAGTGGGAACAGAGTAAAAGAGAAAAATGTTAAAAGGAACAGTGGAGCTTGGAGACAGATTGATTCTTTTTCTCTCTTCCGTTCCCCATCCTAGGAGAGCCTGAGGCTTGCCCTCCAGGTGCATCAGAGTCTTGGGGTGGCCAAGCCATGGCATCCCAGGATAATCAGTCTCTGTCACTGCAGAGCTTATTCCCGCCTGTACTTTGCCCCAAGATCCATCTGATCTAGGAGACAACCCTGCTCAGCTTCTCTCAGTGAGGACAAGGGGATGGTGAGAGGCTGGCTGATGGGGCAGGCCTGTGGACTGGAAGGAGTAGCCCTGGGTCGAAGCCCCCACACAACCAAGAAACAGTTTCTGCCTCCATTTTCTTGGGGGAGCAGAGATCCAATTAAACAGAATAAAATGAACTGTGAGTGACAGGACCATGAGGTTAGTAATCACCTGGGAACTCTCTTTTCTGAAAAAGAGTCAGTTTCCATTTTGAAGCCTTAAATTGTTGCTGTGCAGGTCAGTGTTCTGCCACCTGCACAGTGGACTAGAGATCTCAGTACTCACCTCGCCCAGCAGGGCAGGAGGGTGGCAGGGGGCAGGTGGCGGAAAGAGCCCAGATTCCCCTCTCGCTCTGCCACTTGAAGCCTTCATTTCCTCATGGGTAAGCTGGGGCTGTTAATACCCACCCCAGAGGGGGGATGCCAAGTGCTCCACAGATGTTAACTGATACTGTTTTCCACCCTGGAAGGGTTCCCCCTAGCATTTATGCCTGAAGAGGGAATTTCACATCCCAAGGGGGCAACCTAAGGGAAGGACTGCCCCACAGCCACAGCCCTGACCTGAGGAAGCTGCCAGGAGCCCTTACCCTCGTTCTTACCCATGGGAAGCCAGCTGGCAGGCACTGCCCAAGTGTCCTGAGATCCAGGGAAACTTAGGTGAGGAGTCAGAAGAAAGGGTCTTGGTTGCAGTTCTGCCTCTGGCTGGGGATCATGGGCAAAATTACTTACATCTTAGAAAAAGAAGAATTTGGTGCCATTTGTTAACGGGCCACAGCATGGCTATACATGTAACAGAGTCCCTGGGTGGTGCCCACAGTTAACATACTGGGCTACTTAACCAAAAAATTGGAGGTTTGACTCTACCCAGAGGTGCCTCTGAAGAGAGGCAATCCATTTCTGAGAAATCACTGAAAACCATATAGACCACAGTTCTACTCTAAGTACACGGGGTCGCCGTGAGTCGGAATGTACTTGATGGCAACTGGTTGAGTTTTTTATATATGTATATTTATTTATTAATAAATACATTTTCATACATTTATATTACATATGTACGTATGTAATACCAAACCAAACCAAACACACTGCTGTTGAGTCAGTTCCGGCTCATGGCGACCCCTCCTTGGGTTTCCCAGGCAGTATATCTATGGAAGTAGATTGCCCGGTCTTCCTTCCGAGGAGTGGCTGGTGGGTTTGAACCACCAGCCTTCTAGTTAGCAGTCAAATGCCTTAGGCACTACACCACCGGAGCTCCCAGGTATGTAATAGGCACTTTATATTCCTACCTCAAATCCTAACATCATTGCTTCTTACACTGGGCCAAGGTCTATATGGAGTCACCCAGGTACTTGTTTATAGTGCAGAGTCCTAGGCCACCACCCAGACCTGCTCAGTCTGAATGATGGGAGTGGGATGAACTGTGCATTCTAATAAGCTCCTGGGTGATAATTTGCAAAGGAGGTAGTTTTATTCTTATAAATACACTGAAGCTCAGAATATTTCCCCAAGACCACACAATAGACAAAGGTAGGAATTCAACCCAAGTCAGCTGGCTTCTAAGGCCGAGCGAGCATGCTCTTAACACACTGTGGCTAGCTAGACAGAGAAGAGAGAGTGTGAGATGTTGATAAGGAATGTGGGGGCAGGGCTCAGAAGCTGGGTGCCTGGTGAAGAACAAATGGGACAAGAACAAAGATATTTACAATCCATATCATTGCGGAACCAGGGACTCACGTTGGTAGCATAGTGCCTAAGGCACTTGACTGCTAACCAGAAGGCTTCCGGTTCAAACCCACCAGCCACTCCTCAGAAGGAAGGTTGGGCAATCTACTTCTGTAGTGATACTGCCTCGGGGTCGCTATGAGTTGGATTCAAGTCGACAGTAGTAAGTTTGGGTTGGTTTT